TGAAACCGTTAAACCCGCTTAGCTGAACATATCGAACGATAAACTGTTAACAAGATAATTTAGAACTTTTAAACATAATCACTGAAACGGTGGAAAAGTGAAAATTTTTAGACCTAATTATTAACTTTAAAAATCGATGAATTACTTACCATCCATAAGATATGAAAAACATATCTAATATAAAAACTGCATATTTGTAGGTATATTTTATACACATTAGTTTGGCTTCTGATCCAAATGTACACGGAAAACGATTTATTTATTTACTTGTTTGTTGGAAAGCTACTACAGGACCATATGTGCTAATCGTTCCTAATTTTGAAGTGATAACCAGGAGGGAAGGAAGTTAATCAACACCATCCACCGCCAATTCCCGGGCTACTCTTTACCGACTAAAATGTAAATAACCGTCACGTTATCACACCCCCCATGGCTGAAAGGGCGAATATGTTTTGGTGATAGGATTTGAGCCCACGACCGTCAGGTTGCAAGTCGAGCACCCTAACCACCTATTGTGTTTCATCTGATTAAGTAAATCTATACTACTTTCCAACAAATGTTCTATAAAAAAATCGTGTTTATTTTCTAATCTTAGCCTTTTATTTTCCCTAACTTCTAGATCGAATGGGAAACTAACCTTTATACTTATAGCATGTCCACGGTTCTAAAGCGTACACCACGTTTTTGTGGTAACGTGTTGCAAACCACGAATCATCGGATTTACAGTCTGCGTACGCTCGGCTCGCTGAAAAAAAAAATTAGGCATACAGTTTCGTTCAAAAATGCCCGTTCCTCATTGCTCAGCGGTAAGTTTGAGAGCTTATAATGCTTAAGTTCGGGGTTCGATCCCTGCAGCGGGCAAAGCTTTACTGTTAAATATTCTTTCAAAAAAAAGGAACGAGATCCAAAAATAAATCACACTTGAGTTGTGCGTTAGTAAAATATGAAAAAAACGGCATACAGTGTTAAACTGTTGAAACATAAATTAGCTATATTAAAAAGAGGAAACAGCTCTAAGTAGACTACTAGATGTTCCGATGGCATTCCATCACCTTATACATCACCTCACATTACACCCTCAGCGCCACTTCGAACTCATCCCACCCGACAGTATTCAAAATAACGTTTTTATTTTTCTCAGTCTTTACTGATTCTCATACTGTCATCTTCCACCTAAATTCAATGCGATTCATCAATGTAACATTTCAATAGTCTAATAATGCTTGGAGACAGTCTGTAATATGAGCTGTGTTTGCCACACGTTCTGCTAAAACCTTTTCATTCGCTTCTTTGATCACCGAATTTTTTAAGGTCCTTAATTCTAAATTACGGGTTTCTACACGTTTCGCCAATATAAGCTCGACCATAGACGCAGGAAATTTTGTAAAAGCCACGGAAAGCTAAAGTAAAGTCTACATATCTTCAAATTCTGTTACCTACTCTTGATACCATACCTTCAAGAAACTAGTATATCGTCCAACAATCGAACGTTGTATTCGTTGTTAACATTTGGAACGAGATAAACGGAACCCTTTGGTTTATTGGTTGAATTTCTCACAAAGCTACACGAGGGCTGTCTGCGCTAGCCGTCCCTAATTTAGCAGTGTAAGAC